AAGATGTTTTGCTTAAAATTAAATGTAGAAAATTACTGTTTTCTCAATTAATCATAGTCTGGCATCCAAAGACCATGCTCAGAGAAAATCCCTAATGTTTCTAACTTACTGTTAAAATGAAACTTTTCTATAAAGATCATGATGCCTTAATGGTAATATATTACATATTGAATGTATAAATATATATAGTTATTATATATTATAAATGTATATTCTCCCATATGTATTGATGTATCCAATGAACTAAATAGGTATATGATGAACTAAAGCCTAATTTCAGAGTTTTCTTCACTTTGGAAGCTGATTCTCATTACAAAGCCTGCAATAATTCTGCAAATATTTACTTAAATAGCAGCTCTCTATCATGTTCAGAAGTCTAAATTTTTCTTAGCATAAATCTTTTGTCTTTAGTTTGTTCTCAGTTATATATTCTATTAGTGACCTAGAGATACCAGGTTAACTTTCTTATTATATAATAGTAATATATTTGAAAAATATATTATTCTTAGATAATAGCAGGAACATATTTATAGTTTTATGGGTGACTTAAAAAAACAAAATAATTGATAATGAACAACTTCAACATATTTCATTCTTGGATGTATATTTCAATAGCAGTACATAGTATTGAATGTCACAATTCTTTCAACACTATCAACATCAATATACATAGATGAATTCTAAACTTCTTGATCATAATAAAATTATAAGTAATTATCACCAGAAATATTCAAATTCTGGTCAGTGTATCTACAATTCCTCAGAATATTGCTAATTTATAATTAAAATCCTTGATAGTTGACCCCTTACCATTCAGAATATTTAAAAATACTTAAAAACATGCCCTGGCTGGTGTGGCTCAGTGGATTGAGTGCCAGTCTGTGAACCAAGGGGTCGCCAGTTCGATGCCCAGTCAGGGCACATGGCTGGGTTGCAGGCCAGGTCCTCAGAAGGGGGATGCACGAGAGGCAACCACACATTGATGTTTCTCTGCCTGTCTTTCTCCCTCCCTTCCCATCTCCCTAAAATTAAATAAATAATCTTTTTTTAGAAAGAGTTTTCAGGTGCCATGTACCTCAACTTCCCAGTACCAAACTAGAACCTCATCTAATCCACCTCTTATCCTGCCCACTCCCATCCTTTTCTTCTCTCTTCGCGCCATGGAAGGCATGACCATTCCTCCAGGAGCCCATTTCCCCCTTCAGGTAAAAGGAGGGGCAAGTATTAGGAAAGCTGGCCATTACTGACCAAATCCTAACCATTTGGAACCAATTGCTGCAGAGGTTATGGTTTGGCTTTTTGAGCCTGTTGTTAAGAGTTTGTGGGTCAGAGTTCTATTTTAATCTATGGTCTGGCCATTGTCCATTTGTACATTCAGTCTCCCAACTCCAAACTTATTTTATCTCCAGTTCACAGCATCTAAACTTAACAACTGTCTATGGCACCAACCTCCTCACATCCACTTTTGCCTCTCTTTTATCCATTCTTCATATTAGAGCTTCATACTGCTTAAGGCCCTTTAGTGGTTTCTCATCACACTTAGGATTAAAATAAAATTATTCATGTAATCTATAAAACTGTGGACAGTCCAGCACTTCTCTCCTCTCCAACACTATCTGACTCACTGTGGCTATAGGACTTTATCAACAGTGTCCTACTCCTTTTCAGGACTTTCATACATTATTTTCTGGGCCTAGAATCTTGGATGTTCTTTTTTTTATCTTTACCTATTTTATTCCTACTCAATCAAGCCTCTGAGCAAATGTCACTTCATTTGGGGCTGGGGGTATGTAGCACATATAACCTCTCTCATTACACTGGCCCAAGTAACTTTGGGAGTGGACTTCAGAGTTTTTTAGGTTTTACATTTCATTTATATTGAAATTGTGTTAGAACTGTCCACTTTATACTTCTCATTTTTTCTCTAACAGTAACTTTTGTATATACAAAAATTATATCTGTGTGTGGATATGCATGATACATACACATATATGCATATACCATATGGAATGTGGAATGCATTTACTACCTTGCCTCTTTACAGGCCACTGAACTTAGAGGTATTTATTTGTAGATATGCAGACAGTCGTTTTGAATGACTCTAGAATTTTGTTTTATAGACAGTCTTATTTTATTTGACTTGACTATTGATGGATATATATGTTTTATTTATGTTATTTTGAACAATGGTGGAATGAATATGTATGCACACATCTTTGAATACTTGTATGCTTTCTTATAAAACATTAAGAATTAAAATCACTAAGTATATTTTTCAATTTTCAAGATATAATTTACATACCATATAATTCATTCACTTAAGATGTACAGTTCAATGGTTTTTACTACATTCAAGTAGTTGTGCAACCATCACTATAATCAATAGTAGAATATGTTCTTCACTGCATAAAGAAATGCTCATACCCAGCAGCAGACACCATCCATTTCTCCCCAACTCTAATCCTAGACAACTACTAACCTAGCTTCTATTTATAGATTTATATATTTTGGACATTTAGAATAGAGTCTTATAATTTTTGTGTATGATTGGCTTTTCACTTACCTTAATGTTTTCAAGGCCCATTCATGTAGTAGCACATATCAGTACATAATTCTTTTTTAATGACTTAATAAAATATAGAAAAGTCACATTTTGTTTATTTAATCCTCTGTTGTTCCCACTATTTAGCTATTCAGAAAAATTTTACTCAGAATATTCATGTGAAAGGTTTTGTTTGAACATGTTTTCAATTCTCTTGGATATATACCAAAGGCCAAGAGTGAAATTGCTAGATTATATGGTTTTTCTATGTTTAACTTACTGAGGAACTGCCAAATTGTTTTCCACAGTGGTTGCAGCATTTTATTATATTTATTATATTCCTACCAGCAGTATATAAGTATTCCAATTTCTCCACATCCTCACCAGCATTTGTTGTTATAGCTTCCCTAGTGGGTATGAATTGGTATCTCATTGTGATTTTGATTTGCATTTCCTTAATGATGTTGAGCAACTTTTTTTATGTACTTATTGGCCATTTGTATATCTTTGGAGAAATCTCTATTCAAATACTTTGCTCATTTTTCAATTGGCTTATTTGTCTTTTTATTATTGAGTTGTAAGAGTTGTTTATATATTTTTGACTACACAGCCCTCATCAGATATAGATTTGCAAATATTTTCTTCCATTCTATGGGTTGTCTTTTCATTTTCTTGGTGTTGTCCTTTGAGTACCAAAGCTTTTAGTTTTGTTAAAGTCAAATGTGTCCATTTTTTCTTTAGTTTACGGTAGTTTAGGTGTCCTATTAAAAACTATTGACTGCCCTGGCTGGTGTGGTTCAGTGGATTGGGTGCTGGCCTGCAAACCAAAATGTCACCAGTTCGATTCTCAGTCAGGGCTCATGCCTGGGATGCTTGCTGGCAGGTCCCCAGTTAGAGGCCTATGAGAGGCAACAGATCAATGTATCTCTCGCACATCTGTTTCTCCTTCTCTTTCTCCCTCTCTTCCCCTCTCTCTAAAAAAACAATAAATCTAAAAAAACAACAACAAAAAAACCCGTTGACTAATCTAAGGTCACAAATATTTACACCTATGTTTTCCTCTAAGAGTTTTATCACTTGCATTTATGATCCATTTTGAGTTAAATTTTGTACATGGTATGAGAAAGGGTTCCAACTTATTTTGCATGTATTCAGTTTAGATATCTAGCATCATTTGTTGAAAACACTATTCTTCCCCCAATTGAATTATGTTGGCACTATTGTCAAAAATCAATCAACATACATGTGAGGGGTTGTTTCTAGACTCTCAGTTTTATTTTATTGATCCGTATGTCAAACCTTGTGCTAATACTAAAATGTCTTGATGATTGCGGTATTATGCAAGTTTTCAGCTGAGACTGAATCCTCCAACTTTGTAGTTCTTCAAGATTATTTGATTATTCTGAATTCCATATAAATTTTAAGATCAGCTTGTCAGTATCTGCAAAGAGCCAGCTGTGAGTTGGATAGGGATTGTGTTGAATCTGTAGATCAATATGGGATATATCACCATGTTGACAAATAAATGTTCCCATCTGTGAACATGGGCTGTATTTCCATATCTATTTATTCATATTTATTTCAATTTCTTTCAACAATGTTTTGTAATTTTTAGAATAAGAGTTTTATACTTCTTTTGCTTAATTTATTCCTACATATTTTATTCTTTTCCTGGTATTATAAATGAAAATAGTTTAAATTGATTTTTTTAGAGAGAGGGAAAGGAAGGGAAAGAAAAAAACACTGATTTGTTGATACACTTATTCATGCGTCCATTGGTTACTTCTTGTATGTGCCCTGACTGGGGATCAAACCCACAAATTTGGCTTATCAGGATGACACTCCAACCAACTAAGCTACCTGGCCAGGGCCTATAAATGAAATTTTCTTTAATTTTGAATTGTTAACTACTAATGCATAGAATATATGATTAGTTTTTGGTCACTGATCTTATATCTTTAACTTTAATGAAACCATTGATTGATTAGTAGGTTCCTTAGGATTTGCAATGTATAAGCACATGTTATATGCACATATAGTTTTACTTCTTTCTTCCTTTCTAATCTGGATATATCTTATTTTTTTTCCTTGCCTAATTGCCCTAACTAGAACCAACAGTACAATGTTCAATACAAGTAGTGAGAACAGACATCTGTGTTTCACTTTTTCTTAGATGGAAAGCGTTCTTTCATTCATTGTGCTATTAGCATGGGTCTTTGTAGATAGATATCTTTATGAAGTAGAGTTCCCTTCTATTCCTAGCATGTGGATGTTTTTATCATGAAAGAAGAATGTTGGGTTTTGTTAACTGTTTTTTCTGTATCTATTGAGATTATCATGTGTTTTTGCCCTTTATTCTATTGAAATTTTCATAACTCATTGTCTATTTAAAAAATTAAGTGTGGTTAAATTGGTCTGATGAATGATATATTCTTTCTCCTTTGTGTTTCAAACACAGATCTTCTCTTGCTAACTTCATCCCATCTGCCAGATGAAGAGGAGCAGAGGAAAGATATCCACCCACCCACAAAATAGAGTGCTTGCTTAGAAGTTCCTGTTTGAAAAGGAATTGTTTGAAAGCACCTGGGATGTCTTATTAGTTTCAAAGGATTCTCTTCTTGTTTTTTATAAAGGGAAAATAACAAATTCAAAGGCAATGACAGTTTGAAGCACAGTTATTTACCTGTATAACAGACATCTCTCATCTTTTCTGCACATTATAATTCTTATGTGGGTTAAAAAGAAAAATACTTTGTAATGTCTTAGGACTCTATAATAGTAAAAAGTGCAAAAATTAAACATTTTTCTTTCATATTCCTGTAATTCTTAAAAATATTAAAATAACTGTATATGCTTGAGTGATTATTTTTAAAAATGCAAAATCTGGAATCAATTTCAATCACTATTTGGCTTTGCAGAATTGAGAGAAAATAATTCGTTCATCGATTATTTATATAGAAAGTCTAAGAGAGAGGTTAATGATTGCCACCAATTTTATATTATAGGCTTTAATGTTTATGAAAGTATTTTTATTTTGAATAATATTCATTTAAAGTTGTAAAAAAGAAATTTGAAGTACTAATTGTAGCTCATTTTATTTTAAAACTGAAATGTTCATTTCTGAATCTTTTTCTCATCATGTAATTGGAAGAAGCCACTCATTGATTTTCCTTGAAGTTCTGTTTCATGTCTTTGATTCATTTGTATAGTTTCTTAGAAAGACCCATTTAAAGTTGACATTTAAAATGTAGCTATGCCATCACTCTCCTTCTTGGGGAATGCCTGTGCCTCCTCCCCTCCGCACCTTTCCTTCCCCTTTTTCTCCTCCCCCCACCCTGTTCATTACCTTTGCCTTTCTCTCTCTTAAGCTCCAAGGCTCCTTCTTTTGCCACTGTGACTTGTTTCCTGAGCCCACGCAGCTCAGCTGGCTCAATTCTACTACCTGTGTAACTTTCTAAATAAACTTTCTCTTATATTTTGGGAGAATATGTGTGTGTGTATGTATTAGTTATGTCAATGAAATCCCAAGCTGGGCAATATCTCTATCTGACATATGACTGCTCACCATCCTGCTAGGTTCTGTTTAGATGCTGTTCAAACTGTGGTGGTTAGACCTGCTAAAAAAAAAGGATTAGGAGGAATTTAAGAATATGAAGGATTACCCACGAAGGAAGTTATCCTGTCTAAATCTGAATTGTGTTGATAAACAGGTGCTCCTGATTTATTAAACATGCTCATAATTTGTATTTATTGAAAGACTATTTAGCTCAATGTCATAAAATTCCTATTATTTTACTATAAGTTAATTCCAGATATAAAATTTATAAATTCATACTTTGACTAAAAATTTTACTTTGTGAAAAAGTAGAAGCCATAAACCATTAACCCTTATTTTGCAAAAATAAAAGGTTGGGATTGTTATATAAAGAATTTGATATAGAAATTCTGACATCGTGGAGTTTATCTCCCATTCATAGCTTATTAACGGTGTCTTTTAAAAGTGTTTAAGTGTTTTAAAAGCGTTTAAAACTAAAAGGTGTTTATATAAAGCACTGCAATTAAATTTACATACAAACAAAAGATATTTTATAAAATGTGTTACCTCATTATTTAAATTGGATATTTGGGGAAATTCTAAATGATTTCCTTGATAAATCATAATTCTTTTACACAAATGCATTTCAGTAGAAACATAAGCTATTATCAATTATAGTTATGTTTAAAACATGTACTTGTTCATATGTTTATATATTTTGTACAAGAAAAGCACGTATAGTTCAAATATATCTCAATGAACACAAGCCCATATTTTTTTCAAGCACAGATTCTCACATTCACAGTAAATTAAAATCCAGCCTTGCCATTACAAACTAATTAAATGGTTATACATTTCTGCTCATGCCACTTAAATAATTGTTCAATAAAACACTCGGGGATTTGAGTGTCTAGTTGTCCTTAGCTTGTATAAGAAATGTTCAGAGTATTGAGTGCAGTATAACAGCAATGTCCCTGACACTTGTCTCTTTACTCCATTGTTTGTTCCTTTTAATTGAAGCATTTCACCCTGTATAGCCTTGCTATATATACTTGTACACCCTGGTATAGCCCATCTTTTACTTAATTCTAGACTGTCAGAGTAAGGGAAAAGTTTCTCAAAATCTATAAAAACTCAACAACCAGTGGCATGTATGCTGAAAGTGGCATACCAGAACAAGTCCATGACAATGGACTCGTCATGGTGAAGGGGAGCAGTAGACCAGAGGAATGTCAAATATTTGAACTTTAAACTTAACCATCTCTGATTTAGTGTGTGCTGTCTATTTTTCTATTAAAGGTCCTTGTTATTTCTAATATTTGCGGAATACAAAAGAGATTTTACATAGTGTAACCAAGATGGTTAAGAGGACCAGAAATAATGATGCCACCCCAACTTGGGAATGTGGGGTGAGACAGTGAGGCAGAACAGATGGAGTGGCAGACCAAAGAACAATTTTAAATGCTGATCCCTTCTTTCTTGGCTCAGTTCCTTCCAAATCCTGAAATCAGTCTTTGGTCACATTCTTACATCATTTTAACTCTCCTTTGCAGGGCCACAATGAATAGCTACAAAGCTTAAGCGTATGCCAAAAGCCTTAGTAATCAAGATTAGTAATATTTTTACACTGTTTTTGAAAAAAATAAGAATTAACACTAAAAAGAAGCATTATGAATACCAAACTTTCAGGGAAAAGACAGTGTCAGTCCTGGCCAGGTAGCTCAGCTGGTTAGAGCATCATCCAGATACTCCCAGGTTGCAGGTTCAATTCCCGATCAGAGCACATACAAATATCAACGAATTAATGCAAATCTATGTTTCTCTCCTTCTCTATTCATTCCTCTCTTTACAAAAGGACAGGATCAGTTAAGCCATGTTAGTGCCTGAAGCAAAAGGAAAAAATTAGTAATACTAATCCTGTCAGTAACAAGAGCCTTATTTTAGGCATATTAGAGCCTGAGTTCCAGCCTTTGATTCCTCCCTTCTCACTTCCAAAAATGACCTCACTCCCTAAACTCTAAATCTGTATGCCATTTTTCATAGTTGGCTTCCACCTGGCCAGAGAGAACACTAGGTTCTAGCCCTGGCTTTTTACATCTGAATTCACCTCTTACTATAAAATATAATTGGATTCCAAGAAGTCTTGGTAGAGAGGTAGTCAGGTTTATAGAAGATCCTGCCCCTGTCAGTTGCTTTACAGAAAAGTCCTATCACTTTCATCTGGCACTTTAACATCTGATTGTACACTTAGGAACTACCTGCAGTATCTCCTGACTCTATACTTTAAGGATAGAGTCCTTAAGGTATAAGTATTGTTACCACAATACTGTTTTATCAACGGTATCAATATCAACTGTTTTGCAGCACTTGCTATGTAAGTGACTATATAACATTCTAAGTTTTTAGCTAATGGGTAATAGTAAAGGAATATTTTGGTTTGCAGCCATTTCTCACTTTTTTTTTATTTTTAATGTAACATTACCTGGTAGAATGTGTTAGTATGTCAGTTTCCAAACTTTCTTTTCACCTCCAGTGAGTCCTAGACAATGTATTTCACAACTCAAATAGTAGTAATGCTTAACTAAATAGGACTTCTATAGACTAAGCCATGTAAGTCACGAAAAGTTCAAAGACTATAATTAAGCCAAAACAAAAATATTTCCAATTCTTCAGCATTTGGTAAGCTTTTAATAATATTAGCTTTGAGCCCTGACCAGCGTGGCTCAGTGGGTTGGGCATGGTCCCACAAAGCTAAAGGCTGCTGATTTGATTCCTGGTCAGGGCGCATGCCTGGGTTACAGGCCAGCTCCAGAGCTGTGGGCTATGAGAGGCAACCCATCCTTGTCTCTCTCCCTTTCTCATTCTCTCCCTTCCCCTCTCTCTAAAAATAAATAAATAAAATATTTTAAATATATATAAACTTTGAAAAATGAAAGGAAAAAAGTTCTAAAATTGGAATTTGACCCAAAAAATGATGTTTCCTGTGAAGATACTCTTCCCTCTGATGACATTGTGGATGATATTGTCCATATTATAATTTTTGGAGTTATGTATTCAAAGTATCTGAGCCTCTCTTTTTAAATTACTGTTTTTTTGTTTGCTTAATGTATAAAATATGCACCTGTTAGAAAGGAAGGGAAAGGAGGGAGAAAAGAAGGGCTTCAGCCTCTGCAAAGTGGTTTCCCAATAACTCTATGGGACTAAGAATTACTTTGCCCACTTTTTAGGTGAGGAAATGGACTTAGAAAGTAAGAGTAATCTAAAATCACACAGCTACTAAACTGATATATTTGGGATACAACGCTGTGTGCCTTCCAAAAGGTGTTCTTAACGATTAGGACTATTAGGAGGAGTTTTAAATTATTTACTAAAAATTATTTTGTAATGGGATTTAAAAAATAGTTTCCTGACCTGTACCTGAAAAGTGGGGGAATCCTTTTTTAGTCCATAGTTTTGGCCTCCTCCTAGCGGCAGATTCGTGTAGGGATCACCACAGGAGCTCGGGAGCGCGCTTAGCCAGAGGCCTGGTCCTGTCTTTGTGTGTGACTCCGCTGAACAGAGTTTGGATTCACCCCGTCCCAACTTTCCTTCTCTCTTGTCAAGGAAACTTAAAAATTGTTTGCTTTAACTGTTTTTTAAAGAGAAAAATAGTACTCGTATAAAGTAAAATAACTTTTTATCATATTTAAACAGACTATGTCAAGCTATTCTAATAGTGGTATGTTTTGGGTGTTTTGTTTTGTTTTGTAGAGGTAGCAAAATTTTATGCTCCAGAAACTACTTTTTGTCTTTGCCAACAACTAATTTAGCACAGGTTTGATGTGGGAATCATAATTTCAAAAGTCAATTGCCTACAGGATAATACCTCTTAATAAACCTAAATAGAGAAATAACATACTCCCAACAAATGACGGATTAATTTAGACTATTTTTTCAGGCAAGAGGAGGTAGAGGAATGAAGTCTAAATTTATTATGAGGTATATCTTTTATACAAGGAGGGGGCACTTGTAGAGCCTGCAACCACCAGCCAAGGGGCTGATTTCCAGCTGCCAGTGCTGAAGGAAAAGATCCCTATTGTTAGAGCAGGTTGCTAGGGTACAAAGATGCTAGAGTCTGTAGGTGGTCTGATCTCTCACCAGGCCAATGTGTGTTTATCAAGTGTTTTCCAGGAGTACCTCCCCAGGACAGCAGCAAATGCCCCCCCCCAACCCCCCAGGACCTTCGGAAAGTCTTTAGGTTAGCAAA